CTGAATTGAGTTCAGATATGTTTTTTAAATCTTTTCATATAGTAGTTATTTGAATATCTATTTCTTTGATACATAGTCTATTTTGTAGTATATAAAGTAGTGTTTCTTTTTCTTTTTTTTTCTTTTTGCACACAAATTGCCAGAGAGTTCTTATTAAAGCTATTATTTAGGGCTACAACTACAGAGATTCTGATTCATTAATTCTAAGATGGACCCCACATATTGGATTTAAGATAAGCACCATAGAGGATTCTAATATAGATGGGGTGCATTTTGAGAAATATCCTCCTAAACCGAATATAATAAGGTCCATCAGAAGTGTAAAAACTGTTCATTTCAATTTCACTAATATTTACTGATTGTTAGTATTTGTCAGGCACTTTTGGGTAAGTATTATCAAAGGTGACATTAGTATTACAGACTATTATTTATGGAGTAAAGATGGTTTTTAAAAGTTAGTCTGCTGGCATTTTGCTGCTTGTGAGAAGTGATAGTTGGAAAAAAATTAAACATTAAAAGAAACATTACAGTTTTTTAGAATTGGGAAAGAAAACTTGTTAGACTATATGGGTGTGAATTTTTTCATTTCAACCTGTCCTAAGGCATTAACAATATTAGAATGAAATACGGACCTCATTCTTCTCTACTTAATCAATATACAGTATACCACCCAATATACAGTATATGACATATGGATTGTGTAAAATATTAATGGCTGCATTAACATTTTAAAAGTTTTATATTGAATTAAAAAATTTTAATTTGGCATCTGTTGTTAGTATTGTGTATTCATAATTGTCTGAGTAGAAAGCATTTCACCAATAACCTTATCATATTCTCTTGTTCCTTTTTCTTTTCATCATGAAAAACTGGTGTGTGCTTTGGTAGTCTTACTTACGCATCTCAGAAACATATGGTTTGTCTCTTTCTTGGAAGCAGAGTGAAGAAAATGACATCGATCTCAGATGGACTATGCTCCCCTCCTTTATCTCGATGCTTCAGGTTTTGCTAGTGGTATGGAGTTAATATTGGTGGCAGTGACAGGAATGACAGCACTTTTTACCACTTGGGGGAAGTACAAAGCTGTCAGGCTTCAAAGCCATGGATACATCTTGTAAAGGTCTGTAAGAAATGTGTGAATAGAAGGGTAGATACTTGGGATTATTTTACATGCTATTTTATTGTGAGCAAGGGGAGAAACATTACTATGTTTGTTTGCTGAGCTCCTTTTCTCCTGCAAAAATGGATATTCTTTAAAAGGCGATAGCATTCGTACTAGTGATGAGCCCAGTTTTCCATTTGTTTTTACATTGCAGTACTGCTCAGTGCCAAATGTTTGTATGTTGTAATATGCAAATATTTTACATCTTATTATTCCCCTGCTCAAATTTCTTTGCTGCCATTAAAGGCCTTCTGTCATTTGGCCCCAATTCAACTTACCAGGTAAACTTCTCACTACTGTATTACTTTTCTTCTAAAGAAAACAATTAATTTACCATTTCCAGAATGTGCTTCAGCTTCCCTAGGCAGTGCTTATATTTTGAAATCCAACATAATCTCTTTTGTCTTAAGTCTATTAAGAACTCATTCTTTTTGTAGCACTTATTCACATTTTGCCTTTTTAAATAGATATTGCTGTATGTTTTAGTAGCTTGAGTCTAGATTTTAAGCTCTGAGAGTAATGACTCTATTCCATATGAATGTAAGTGTTTGTGTAATGCCTTCTACATAGTAAGAATTAAAGTGTTAATTGAATTACAAGGCTTACTTAAGTGTATGATCATAAAATGTAATAAACCCAAAAGTTTTATTGACTTTGGAAAGCAGTCTTGAAATTACTGTTTACTAAAGGTCTACTAAGCACCTGTGTTCTTAATACTTTCAGGTTTTCACTTTTAAGTCGAATGTTTGTTAAATGAGGAGCTTGATTTTTGGTGTTCAAAGAACTGAGATTTTGCTATAATTTTATTTGAGGTATTAAAAAATAAAGCACATACTTAAAAATTGACTTATGTTGAGTGAGAAGTACAGAATTATAATGAATACCATTTTTTTAAAAAAGCATAGTTGTAAATAATTTAATTTTCATAATAGGTTGAACATCTGTTGGGTACTAGTTGGTAGAATAATAACATCCTTAAATTAACAGAAAAAGCAAAAGAGAAAAATAACAGTTTCATATCTTGTTGAGCTCATCTTTGGTTAGTTTTTAAAACAAGATTTCTTATTTCTATACTTTTGAAAAACTAATCGAGTTAACTAATAAAAATCGATGTCTGTATCTGTGATTTGTGACATATGGATAGAAAAACATAATTTTAAGAAGAATCCCACATTGAGTTTACTGTTACCCCTATTGCTTTTGCACTTGAAAATGTCATTCTAACATGAAAAATTACCATTAATGATTCTTTTTGGTAAAGTTATTTGAAGTAAAGTGAAAAATTTATACTTGGTGGTGAAAGTCATCATGAGGAAAAATAATTTACCTTTTCATAGAACAAACTTAACATTCTCTTATTGTCATTTAAGCTGAGGTCAGTAATTGCAATCTTTTCTTAAAAGCAATATTAGAAATATGGTTTTGATTTACCTATTACATACTATTTAACATTAAAAAACTATTAGAAGTTGTCTGGTAGATACGCTTTTTCTTTGTTGTAAATTACTGGGTACACTTTTGTGTACCCAAAAGGTCATTACAAGCGGGCAGAAATGCTTGCTAATTTTCTGTTTCAATGTCGAGAGTAGAAATAACAACAGTTTAGAGGGCAACATTATAATAATTGCCATTTATTTCTTATTTTGTTAGATTTCTTATTACAGAGAACAAGAGGGCTTAAAAGCAGTTTAGGCAAATATATTAGAAAAATTCAAAAAAAATTTTTTCTCACCCAAGGTCTTTTTTTTTTTGACTGCTGTTAGAGAAAGGGAGAAAGGAAGGGAGAGAGAGAAGCATACATGTGAGAGAGAAGCATTGATCAGTTACCTCCTGTACACAGCTGTACCAGGGATCGAACCCCCAATCTAAGAATGTGCCCTGGCTAAGAATCGAACCTGCAGTCTTTTGGTGTATGGGGTGAAGCTCCAACCAGCTGAACCATACTGGCCAGGGCTAGAAAAAAGTTTTTTAACTTAGTTCTTTGACATGCATATAGACTTGAAAATTAAAAATATTTAAAACACAAAGGGTTTTCTCTTAATATCAAAACTCTAAAAATAACCTAATTTTTTATTAAGTTTATAAAACTAAATATTAACACTTTAATTTATGCTTGGAAGTCAAGTATAAAATTAGTTTAATTTTTTTAAATTAATATATTAGCAGATATCCTATGCCAAATATATTTATCATATGAAAATTTTCTTAATATCTCTGTGAATTCTTCATTTTTTTTTCAGGGTTTCAAAAAATAAGTCTTAGCAACATTTTGTCAAATGGAAGCATTTCTTTAAATCTGTAAAAGTAGAAAATAAATAGAAAAGAAGGTAATTTGGCTTTGCCAAGATTCGACATTGTTAGTATTATTATCAGAAGTAAATCACTATTAAATTTGTTGTGTAACCTCAGGGAATTCAAGCTATTGTATAGTGTTCTTTTCCCCTATAATTAAGGAGTTTAGTAAACTTAATTGGATGAATCTCATTTATTTACATAAAAGTGGTATATTATTGAATTGTTTGATATGAAATTTAATTAAAAATGAATTGCTACTTGATTTAGTGAATACAGTGTTAAAAATAGAACAAAAAATTGTCCAGTTAACCAATTATAAGGTAGCTAGTATTTGCCTATTAAGTAATTTGTTGCTGTTTTTTAATATAGGTATGCTTAGCACTCATGGGTAGACTATTAGATTTTTACAACTGGAAAGTATTATTTTGATAACAATTCCCAAACCTGATATATATAGTTAGGATTAGTAATTTCATATTTTTATAGCATGATTTGAGGATTGAAGGCAAAATGCTCAAAGTTAAATTAAGTGATGTAGAGTAAAACAAAATGACAAGTTTTATTGCCACTTCGGTGATTTTCAGAGTGAAAATAGAATACTGTATTTTGAAACATTTGGGAGCTTCATGATAGGGTAGAAACATTATGTAAATTGTATTACTCTAAACTTGCTATGTATCTAAAATTAGAAACAGTTGGCTTTGTTAAGCTTTTCTATGCTAATATATTTTTTCTCCCTTGTATTCAGATTTTAGTAGTTAACTTCTATTATACAAAAAGGCCAGCTTGAGTAAAGTTATTTTAATACACTCCTTTTGCCAGCAGATTGTATTAATTCCAAGCATTTGGCTTAGACTGAAGCAAAGTGAGAAAGGAAGAAAGAGACTGGTGCTTTAGTTTTCTTCCTTCCCTTTATTGTCAGTCACTTGTATAGTACAGGCGTAATGCTCTTGTTCATAGAAAATCAGTCTCTTTTTCATAATAAACTCAAATTTCAAAGTTTTTCTATTTTCGTATTTACAGGTTGTTTGCTTTTGGTTCTTGATTTTTGAAATCCTGAGAAACCCTACAGTTTCTACATTAGAAAAAGGAGAAGGTTTTGTACATGGTTCATTAATTTTGGTACATCAAATAATACAGCATATTGGCTATAACAGAAGACAGTATAGTGATACAGAAAATCCTGGATTGTTTTGTTTGGAACCATAATTCTAGTTCTTATGTTTTAAAATGGTATTCCTTTGTCATTATATAAATATATCTATAGTTTGTGGCTTAGAAACAACATACTTTATTTAAAAAAAAAACAAGGATACCTGTGTCAGTTACATTTAAAGTTATACACTGTTTTAAGGCTATGTATTTATTATTTAGAAAATGTGACTTACATGAGTATCTTCTGATGGACATAATATTGACAAAATATATACAGTATTACTTTAACAAACTGCCATGCAACAAATACATTGTTATGAAGAAATTGAATATATATGATCTAATCTAATCTTGACATTTACATTGAAAATTTACAACATAACCGATACTTAAAATATTTTTTTCTTATACTTGGCAGTAATTTCACTTTTTACAATTTAAACTTAAAACTTCTGAGTGTGGATTTGGTGAAACAGACTTTTCCCTAGTCAGTGACAACCTGAGGTACTAAACATTTTTCTCTTATTTCACTGTCTTCAAAGGTAATTTTTTTGTTTCTTTTAGGGTCAATCCAAGAATTATGAATTACAGCATTGTTAGGCATGGGATCAGCTTCTACTATGGAAACAACTCGCTTTTTCATTTTACTTTTCAAGACCTTTTGAAATTTTTGTCTAGTGAATGCATATAAAAGAGGGTGAAATATAGTTGTTCCATAAGCCATAACTAGAAAACACAACCTTAATTTTACTAAAAGGTCACTTGGGCCTAAACATAAAATGGTGGTATTTAAAACAGAAATTGGTGTCCAGCAGAGAAGAAAAGTAGAAATAATCAATAAAGACATTCTGAAGACTCTTTTTTGCCTTTCTCGCCGTTCACGGTGTCGTTTCACAGCTCGCCGGAGGGCAATTATTACAGAGACTGAAGTCCTTACACCAAAGACTACATTTTTCCCACCACTGCTTTGTGACATGTCTGTAGTCTCATGTTGTGTGGTTAGAGAAATTGTCTTTTTTTTTCTTGCTTTCTTCTTCTGTCCTGTTGAAAATCTCGTGCCTATTCGAATATTAAGAGCCTGAAGTATTTTGGTGTATGTAATTAACATCACTATGACAGTGAAAAAGAATATTGGAATCTGTACGAGCAGGTGGTAATACATTCCCAGTTCAGTGTAGTATTCATTTGTACTGACACACAAAAGTGTCTTGTTTGCCCATGTATTTCCACCTTGAAGACTGAAAAAATTTACCTCAATAAAGGGAATCAGGAAAGAGAAAAATGAAAACATCCAAATGGATATCATTAGCATTACAGCTCTGCCCATTGTCAGAATTCGGTTTGCAGGTTTTACAGAGATGTCATATCTGTCCAAAGTGATAGCAAAAACGTTGATTGCTGTTGAGACACTTGCGAAAGATACACAGGCCTCATGGAAACAGCAGATGAGAGTAGTGTTACTTTCCAGTGAAAGTAGAAGGATAACTATAGTTAGAGGAATACATCCCACACAAATTATTACATCAAGTACATGAAGATTCATTGTAATAATGTTACTGACAGAGTTGATTAAGTTGGATTTCATGCAGTAAAGTACCAGTACGGTGAGGTTGCTGCCAAGTCCCAACACAATTTCTAACATAAGAAATCCGGTGAGAGATGCTTGAAAGCTTAATGGATATAATAGTGGTTGGTACATATTGGTGTTGATGTCATCAATGTCATCTCGAACTGTAATGTTAGATTCAGACTGCATGTTGATTTCCAGAATGGGAGAAAAGCACATTCTTTTGGAGCAGTTGGGTTTTTTTCCTAGAAAGTGAAATAGAATAAACTATTTGGTATTTGGCATTTTAAATAATGTATAGAACATATGTTCTTTGTTAAAAAGAAACAAACTAGAAACCTTTTTTATTGTGTACTTAGTTTAACTTTTAAGTTTGTAAGCTATTAATGGAAAACATAGAATTAGGAAACTCAGGGTTGCATTATTTTGATATAAAAGGAAATTGGGTTCTCCCTTTGAAGAAGTAACTATGTGGGGATTACTCCTCTATAGTTCAAAATTATTTCATTTACTGAAAACATTTTACTCGTTTGGGTTTTTCAAGCTTATTTTTTAGATACAGTGTATTTTTGTATAATAAAACTACCCAGTATGGAAAACTAATTTTAGCCCAATATTTTAACATTTCATTATAATATTGTAAGTGGCAAATAAACACTGTTTTAATTAGTTCTAGCATAATTAGTGTAGGTCTAATGATTCCCATGAGATTTCAAATGAACAGGACAAGTGTTCATTTAACATCATAAATGGCATAGAGCACTTGCTTGTTTAAATTATTTTGTTTATGTTCTTGACTGAAATTCATATTCACATGTCACACTAGTTACACTAGGGATACTTGGACTTATTTTCCCACCGAAGTAGACAAAGGATAAATATTTCACATTTTGTAGTTAAAGTGTTCACTGCACTTTATAGCGAGCAAACTTATGTTACAAAAATTGGGGAAAAAAAGGACATATGTTAAAGTAAAACACCACAATAATCACTCCTATGAATGACTTATTTTGTGACCACACCCTCTTGTATCTTGTGGGAGAAAATCAAAATTTAATATCTTATTAATAAATAGCCATTTTTGAAGTGGTTTAAAAGAATATATCAGTTGATTTTATTTAAACAGAATTTTTAAAGTAAAAAATGGAAGTTTAGGGAAAATGTATCCGAAGCCATTTTCTGAGGATACTTTTAAAGTTACACATTCCTTCTGGAACCTTTTATATAAATTAACCATGTGTATAATTTTGAGGAAACTTAAAAAAAAAACAAACTCTTGCTAATTCATGCAAATCTATATTTTAATATATAGAGGTTTAGAGTAATTTATAAAAATGACTGCTTTTTTGGGCTAAAATGTCAGTAACAAGTAGTATACTCAGTTAAAATATAAAATTATACAACCAACTATATTTCACATTTCAAGTACAGCATTTTGATTGCAAAATCATGATCAAACATAAATGATCAAATCTCATAATTTTGAGAACTTTCATTAACCTTTCACTTAATGTAACCTTTTATAAGTTTTAGATTACAATTTTATTTATGCATATTATTTTAGGGATAATACTTCAGAAGCACAAACAATAGCAGTATTAATTTCTTTTGAGCTTGTTATAAAATCCCTAGAGGCACATATTCAAGCAAAGGAAATCCTATAAAATTAAAAAAATTTAAATGTGTCCGATTTTTTGAACTGACAAAGTAAACATCAGTTCTTTGTCACATCAGTTAAATTTATAGGTAAATAAAGAAGAAATGTGAAGTTAGATAATAATTAAGAAAACTGCATCTCCTTGAGAGCAAGATTCTTTTCTTTTGTAAATGTTAAACAGTGTGGCAGGGTGCATGCATTTTCTGACCTACCTGTTTGCTGTTGCCTTATGGGCCTTTTGGCTCATTATAGCAGTTTTTCACAAATTGATACATGATGGCATTGACCGATTTTACATGAATTTTACCTGACAACAGTGAAGTAGCTGTGTTTTATTTCATGTCTTGTAGGAATTGTTTCATTTTCTCTCCAGTACTTCAACTGCATGAATTGTGAGATTTAGTTGGCTGATGGATTTCTAAAGACCAGCACAAAATATGTTTGTTTTGTCTTAAAAAGTCACGACCAAGACAAACTTCTTCAAATGAAAAGAATTACGTTTCCCTTTGCGGAAATATATGATAGCGTCTCTTTATTTTCCAGATCATGTGTAAACAAAAAAAGAAACATAAGATTTCTAGCTCCTAAAATGTATTTAGACATCCTTTTGTTACAAACTGTTTCTTTAGCAGTCCTTATTATTTTGGAATGATTTCTTGATCATATAACTTGCTTTATATTATAAATCCAGTCTATGTTTTTTGATAAGAACCATCTGCTATTTAATCTGGTTTGTTTTCATTAGAGGAGGATATATAATTTGTCATAAAACTCCAATTGAAAAATCCTTTAGTAATATCAATTAATACAAATATCTGAATATTTAGTGCAGAAAATACTTGGTGAAGCTTCATTTAGCTTGCTGGTAATATATGGCATTCTTATTTTGGTAATCCATGTTTCATTGTTTCTTTAAGAATTAGTAGCTCCACAATTCTGGTATGTTAAAGTATAAACACCCTCTTTAAAAATGCTCACCATTTTGTCTTCAGGATTTTACAATTATATTGTTTTTCTTTTTGTGGCTATTTTGTACAGCATCTTTGTAGGGCGATTACTGTCGATGTGTTATGTTCCAGCAGTAATGTAGACCTATATTCTCTGATTTTAACTCCTTAGTATCTTAAAATCATGTGTTACAAGGATATCCTGCAGTTTATGGTTCAGACAGATAGGGAGAGAGATGCTCGGTCAGATGCATTCTTCATATTTTTCAGTTGTAAGTACTGAATTAGCTGCCGTGGGCCCTTGTGAAAAAGAAAAAAATAGGTAAGAAATAGGGTTTGTCATAATTTCCAATTAATTGAAAGTTAGCTTTGTTTATTTAACACTATATATATGGTATTTGCTATCAAAGTAAGCAAAGTATATTATAGCCACAGCTTATACATAAATTTAAGGGTTTTTTTAAAAATTAAAACTTTATTTTCCTAATAAGAATTGTAAATATTCTGTTATTTAATAATAGAATTAACATTGCAAATATAACCATTAAAGAAAAACTGTTCTTTTTTAAACTGATTTCTGCATTTTTGAAGCTAACCTGTATTTTCAGAGATTATGAGCAGTTAGCTTATACTAAACATTCTGTCATTCACTCCCTCATGCCTTTATAATAAATTTAACAATATTTCCTGTTGTAAAATATTGTAGCTTACTATATTATTAGAACATGGTTTGAATTTCAGCTGATTAAAACAGATTTCATGATAAGATATTATAAACTTGCACTGAAGAATTGTTCATGTAATTGAAATATAAAAGATAATGTGAAATGTAACTGCAAATTAAATAATTTTCAATGACCATACCCAGTAATAAACTTAACCAAAAGCTGAATAATACATAACAGCTAAATAGTATACTGGACTCTTTTAAGAAAAATAAGCATTTTTTGAACACGAGAAACAGCTGTATTGATAATATTAAGAATACTTAGTATAACTGAAGTGACTTAGAAGCTGATGTCTTAATTGTGAATTAACAAAGAATGTTTCTTGTATTTAACATAGCATCCTAAAATTACATATAAAATACATTGTCTTAAAAGAAATAGATCTAAGAAATATATGTTTAGCAATAAATAGAATTAAGCAAATAAACTCCTAAAATTCAGGTGGAAATTTTTCAAAGTAATCTTACCCCACTGTGCCAGTTCAAAAAAGCAGCTGCATACTATAATAAGGAATCTTACCTCTGCTAAGGATTTGATAAATTCTTGTTGGAGTTGAAGCGTTTCCAGTTTTGATTGATTCATTTTGTTCACTTGTTAGTAGAGGACTTGGGGAAGAGGGTCATAAACATCTCTTCGAAAAGACCTGAATGAAAATATGTCTGTACTGTGCCATTGTTTCAGCAGTACTGCTAATGTATGGAACATGTAGTGCTGCTTAGAGGCTGCGGCAGTCTCTCACTCTTCTTACTGTGGAATCAATAAGCGTCTGAAAATACATAATGAAAGTAATTTAACATACTGAAGGCTTCGTGTCTCCAGAGACAACATTTAGATCCTGTCTTTCTGAAAAGGAACGGCACTGCTTTTCAGAGGAAAGCCTGTTCTGGGCAGCTTTTGCAGAATGACAGCCTACCTTGTCGCTGCTCTCCACTGCAGGGAGATGCAGTGCATTCACTAATTTTGATTGGTCAGTTTTATTGGGCTTGAACTGTGCTTCACATGTATAGCAGGGTTTTCTTACCCCAATATTTTTATATAAGGATGCTTTTTTAAAAGGCTGTATTTATAAGTTATTTTATATTGCTCTTAAATAGAATATGAGTAAATTAGTCCTTTAAAAAAATGTGTATTCTATTCTGGCTTGTTGCTCATTTTTGTGAAACATTAAAAAACACAGGAAGGTGGAGGGGGTCAAGAAAGAATTCACATCGTAAGAATATATATTCTTTTTAAAGCCTGGATAATTGCACTTGAGAATATTTTAGTCATATATATGTTTTTGGTTGAGATTCTTTGTTGTACAAATGGAAACTACTGCGTCTTTATGGTGAACCACATTGAATTTCAAGTAGTTTGTTTGTATTCAAGTCATCTTCTCTGTGTATTCCAAATTGTGAATATTTCAAGATGTTCAATATTTTTAAAAAATTCCATTTTTATTAGTTTACTCTCAGTGTATAAAGATTTAATCATGTGCATTACTTTAAAGATGACTATTGCCTTCACCTTTGGTAACCCATTTATTCAGTAGATATATACTGATCATTTGCCATAATATTTAATTTCAATTGGCTATTTCTATTTTTAACCTGGGAAGTTTTAGTGGATTGCTATGTCCTAAGTCTTATGTGCAACTGTATGCTAGTGTTAATGGGTAAATATGTTGGTGAAGAAAAAGAAAGTTAGTTACAGTTCTTCATAAACTATAAAGATAAATTCTTTTGCGATAGATATGTTGTCAAAAGAATAAAAACAATGGTATAGTATGTAATTAACTTAAAATACTACTTTAAATTCAGATTTCTATTAACTTTAATTACCTAGAAATAATTTTCTATTCTCAATAATCTGGAGATTTTTTTAGACTTGAGTATATAAAGTAGCCATATTCTATCTGCTGACAAAATAGAAGATACAATGCAAATGATTGAGTTATTAGAATATTGATCATCACCCTATTTTCATTATTTTAGGAATATGTGACCTTCAGTTATTAAGATATATGCTAAATTTTTAATTGGAATTATTCTTTTATATTTTTGAAAAGCAGTATACATTTTTATAATATGCTGGTAGTGTTCAAGCTTTACAGGGGGCTGACTGAGTAGTATTTGAGTCCCAAATTGGATTTCTATAGAGGTCGAGAGTAATGCGGTAGAAAACTATGTTGTGAATTTCTGAAATTTTTTGCACAGCTTTGGGTGGCAAGGCTTTGCTAATGCTAAAAATTAAAATGTTGTGTTACTTTTCATACATTTTGAAAGCTGGAGAAAAGGGTCTCATTACAGTGCCAGCCATATTGAAAGATAGTGTGGGCATCTGCACAGACCTGTTATTTGAAGCCTAAAACGAAAACCAGAGAAAAGATATTAGCATCAGTTTACACTTGTGGGGATGGGAAATTATTAACAGTGAAATACATATGGTGCTTTTCTGCCAGAGTTCAATATTTACTTACATTTATCATTAAAATATCCCTATGAAGTAGAGGACACCAAGACACAGAGATGTTTAATGATTTGAAAAAGTCTTGGTAAGTTGGTAGCAAAGCCAGTGTTTGAACTCAGCAAACCCCTTTACCTGTAGCTGGCCCTCTTTCTTTAGAAAATTCTGAAGGTATTTGGGACTTAGTTTTGGATGATCTGGGTTTAGACACTGTTTATTAGTTACATGACTTTTGGAAAATCAGACAGTTTCTAGGTCACAGAGCTTTGATTTTGTTGTTGTTGAAGTATAATTCTGTGCTTTGTTTAAGTCTTTTTGAGGCATTATTTCCAAGTTAAATTGAGGCTATTTTGAAAAAACAAATTCTGGGATCTTTGTAAGAAATAATGGAAAGAAAAACAGCTCAGGTCTGGATATTGTTCTTTATTCCCTGTGGTTAAGGATAAACAGTATATTACAAACAACGACTTTTCAGGTTAAGGATACACAGTATATTACAAAGAACAATTTTTTATTGCATATAATTTTAGTATAGTTTTCTTTTTTAAATACCACCAATTTGGTGATTACACAATTCTCTGATTTCTTAGCAGGATAATCCTAACTTCCTTTTTCTTTAACAAAGATGAAAATATCTCTGTCTCTGGATTGAAAATCAGATGATATTATTTCCTGAAAAGAATAATATTAAATTATGTATGTCAGAATTTACAAAGATTCTTCTTTCCATAATAACAGATTTTGACACTTGTGCATTTAATATATTTTGTATTCATGTAGGATGCCAGTTTTGAAAAATGCTGCAATTGATGATTTTTTTAAATTTATTTACTTTTTAAATACATTTGTGATGATTTAAAACCAAATTTTGTTATAAAACATATAGATTAATTATTAATTAATTAATAACCTGGGAAAGCAGATTCACTTTTCTAATGATAACTAAGCAACAGAGGATATAACTCTAAATCTATTAAAATCCTTTTTTTACAAGTTATGTTTTTCTTTATAGTTATAGTTTGATTCCATAGGAATTTTAATTCATAAAATTCCTGCTATGGGAGCCTTTACTATTTAATTTTACACATTTTCCCTCTTAGGTTTGGACAACGGTGAGTGTAATAGAGTAGTTTATTGTTTATGTTTACATTGTACTATTTATATGAGATCCCTCTTATCCTGCTTGTGTCTAATTCTGATGCCACATTTTTGATGAGTCTGAATTTGTATGTTAAAAAATTCAACTTTACAAAATATTGGAAGTAACCATAATTGAAGGTGTATGTGGACAAATTTGTTTCTAATTGCTGAAAGTTCGCTTTTTAAATTGTAATGCTTCAAGGGTGCTTTTTCAGTGAATGCTTAACAAACCTAACTACCAACTCTTTTTGATACTAGAGCCCAAGGAAGAAAGGATTGTTTTGATTTAAAACCAATTCAGAACTTTCATTTGGCTTCTGATAAATTTCTTTCATAACAAATGTTTACCAGAAAAATAGAAGTGGAGTATATGCTGAAACTTCCATCATATGGGGATTAGCCAAGGTAGTAGAGAGTGAACAACACTGGTGATTCATTATCCATAAGAGAATAATTAAAACCTGATTATAATTGGATAAAGTACTTGCATCAAAATTCTATACTCTTTTTTTAAATTGAATTTATTGGGGTGACATTAGTTAATTAAAATTATATTGGTTTCAGGTGTACAATTCTATAATACATCATCTGTAATATTGTATTATGTTTCCACACCCCAAGCCAAGTCTCCCTGCATCACCATTTATCCCCCCTCTACCCTCTCCTACCTCCCCGAGTCCCCTTTTCCTGTGGTAACAACCATTGTATCTATGAGCTGTTTTTTTCCTTAATTCCTTAATCTTTTTCACTTAGCTCCCTACCCCATGAGTCTGTTTCCATTTTGTTAGTTTATTTTGTTCATTAAATTTCACATATAAGTGAAATCATGTGGTATTTGTCTTTCTCTGACTGACATATTTCACTTAGCATAATACTCTCTAGGTCTATACATGCCATTCCAAAAGGTAAGATTTCCTTTTTTTTTTTTCTTTCTTTTTTTTTTTTTAAACCACAGCTCCTTTATCCACTCATCTACTGATGGACACTTGAGTTACTTCTGTGTCTTGGCTATTGCAAATAAAGCTGCAGTGAACATAGGAGTGCATATATTTTTTTGAAGTAGATTTCATGTTTCCTTGGATATATTTCCAGAAGTGGAATTGCTGGGTCATAAGGCAGCTCCATTTTTAATTTTTTGAGGTAACTCCATTCTGTTTTCTACAGTGGCTGCATCAGTCTGCAGTCCCGTCAGTAGTGCATGAGGTCCTCTTTGAATCCTTGCCAACACTTGTTTGTTGATTTATTTAAGACACTCATTCTGACAGGTGTGAGGTGATATCTCATTGTGGTTTTAATTTGCATTTCCATGATGATTACTGACATGGAGCATCTTTTCTTATCTCTATTGGTCATCTCTATGTCCTCTTTGGAGAAGTGCCTGTTCAGGTCCTTTGCCCATTTTTAATTGGATTTTTTTTGGTTGGTTTGGTGGGTTTTTTTTTTGGTGTTGAGTCTTATGAGTTCTTCATAAATTTTCAGTATTAACCCCTTATCAGATGTATTATTGGTGAATATGTTCTCCCATTCAGTGGGTTGTCTTTTCATTTTGTTGATGGTTTTCTTTGGTGTGCAAAAACTGTTTAGTTTGATATAGTTCCATTTGTTTATTTTTTCTTTTGTTTCCTTTGCCTGAGGAGATATATCAGAAAACATGTCATTATGAGAAATGTTTGAGATTTTATTGCCATTGTTTTCTTCTAAGATTTTTGTGGTTTTAAGTCTTAACACATAAGGCCTTTTTTCCTTGTTGTGTTTATTCTTGTGTATGATTAAGAAGGTGGTCTAGTTTCATTTTTTTGCTTGTATCTGTCCAATTTAACTAACACCATTTATTGAATAGTCTATTTTTACCTCGTTGTATGTTCTTGCCTCCATTGCCAAATATTGACCATAACTGTGTGGGTCAATTTCTGAGCTCTCTATTCTGTCCCATTGATTTATATCTTTGTTTTTATACCAGTACCATGCTGTATTAATTACTATGGCCTTGTAATATAGTTTGATATCAGGTAACATGAATCCTCCAACTTTGTTCTTCTTCCTCAAAATTGCTGTGGCTATTCAGGGTAAAATTCTGTATCTTAACAGAGTAACTCCACACATTTTTTATCTTACCTTAGCTCGTCACTTAAAACTCTTTATTTTAATTTTTTTATGTTATGTATTTGTAACAATGTCTAGCATCACATATTATAAAGATAAATAGATGGCTTTCTTTCCATTTTCTCATCCACTTAGATTTGGGACCTGGTGACTATTACTACTCATTAATCTCCAT